GATCTTTTTTAGGATCAGTTCATCGGTGGGTGGTTCTTCACTTTTCCAGTGTTGAGCAAATGCAATCCTCGCTGCAGTAATTACATGTAAAATCAAGTACATTTCTTGTTTACTAATATCAACAGGTATAATGCCTAATAAGACTTCAGGTTTAAAAGCTAAGGGTTTTTGTAACATTTCCTCAAGCCATTTATGTATTTTAATCCAATACTTTTTCACATTATCGCAAGTCCACCACATATGATAGAAAGTACCCAATTTATGTTTACATTTCCAACACCCATTTGACATATTGGAAACATCTTAGCTAATCTATTTGGTGACAGATACCATCTATAAAACATTTTATACAGGTTTTCATTATACAAAGTTGCTAATGTTACCTTAATATTTCTCTCCCACAGCTTTTGCCATTTTTCTAATTCAATATTATATCCAAAGTTTTGTCCCCACGTTATCATAGTTTCCTTAACCTGTTCAACTTCCATTCTCCTATTGAGTAAGAAATTATATAGTCTTTTAATCATTTTCTCATCTGATTTAAGCATCACCAGATCAAATGCTGTTAAATCTTTATAAAAGCCCCACATTTTTATAGTCTTTAGCATATCTCAATTGTATCTGCACCTTATGCCACCAAGAAATATTAGATCTTTGTTCTTGTGTTTCTTGATTCAATTTCAATCCTCCATCATTATCCAGAATGTTGTCATATTTTATGATCCCTTCAAAGTTCAATGCATTTGGATATACAAAAGCTGCCATAGGTGAAAGCCATCTTGGTAATTTATTATACAATTTTGTCTTTAACTTTTCCCACACCAACATTAACGATTTCCTAATATAGTGACTTAAAAAAGAGCCATGTAGCTTAGCCTTTTCATACCACATAGAAGCGTGCCAGCCCATTTGCAAATCATGCCCTTCAAGATACAAGATTCTCTTATTTCTTAAAGTTATCCATTCTTTTAGCCACGTTAAAACAGAAGCCTGATAGTACAGCCTCCAGTCAGGGAGACCAAAGCCCCCATTCTCTTTAGCCTCCTGAAGTATTTTTAGTTTAATCCTTGGTTTCTTCTTTCTCCATATAAATCTTGAGATTTGAAAATTTAAATCATCAAAAAAAATTCTATCAATTTTTATGGGAATCATTTGGAATAGAAAGAAAAGCTTTGGTAATATATTCATTTTAACCAGTGCTATTCTTCCCAGCAAGGATAGTTGCAAATTAGCCCATTTTTCCAAGTCACTCTTAATATCCTTAAATAGTTTATCATAATTTTGGTCAGGAAAATGCATGTATGGTTATTTGCATCTAAATAGCTGATTAGCTGCAATCCTGTATGCTAGCTTAATTGTGATTAATCTTTTGGGCCATAGAGATGGAGGCTATTTTCACCCAATAGAAGAAAGGCAGTCTGTTTTCAGTATGGCAATTTTAGCAACACATCCCTTCCTCTAGGTTTGTTAGTCCATAACTGCATTTCAGAATGGAAATGTAACTGCTTTATCTGAACTCAGGCCTGTCCTACCTAAATGGAAACACCAATAGAACAAAAGAACAAAGCAGTAAATTTTCCTAAATGAGTTCGGATGATGCTGTAATAGAGGGAAAGCTGGCTTCTCCCAAAACCAATGTGAAAATGTAAAAGTGCCTGATTCAACTCTCCATATTTATTTATTTATTTAGACAGCTTATATGCCGCCCCATCGCATAAGCCTCGGGGTGGCTTACAATCATTAAAATCCCGCGTATAAATACAAAAAAATTCATAGAATAAATAAAATAATGGAAACAGCCTGGTTTAAAATCAACTAATAAACCTTAACAATTAACATAGCGTTTAAATAAAAAGGTCTTGGCCTGGTGCTGAAAAACAAATAACGATGGCGCCAGGCGGACCTCTCTGGGGAGCGCATTCCATAGGTTGGGCGCCACCCCAGAGAAAGCCCTCCTCCGAGTACTCACCCTCCTAATATCCTTCATGGAGGGTTCCCGGAGAAGGGCCTCTGCCGCTGATTTCAAGGGGCGGGAGGGCATATATGGACGCAGGCACTCCTTTAGGTAACCAGGACCTAAGCTGTTCAGGGCTTTGTAGGTGATATCCAGCACCTTGAATTGGGCCCAAAGTTCAATGGGGAGCCAGTGGAGCTGACAGGACTGGGGTTATATGAGAACAACGCCCAGTCCCCGCCAGTAGCCTGGCAGCTCTATTTTGCACCAATTGAAGTATCCGGACCATCTTCAAGGGCAGCCCCATGTAGAGCGCGTTACAGAAGTCTAATCGGGAAGTGACCAATGCGTGTGTCACTGTTGCCAGGCAGTCGTTCTTCAGGTAGGGACGCAGCTGATGGATCAGCTGAAGCTGAAGGAAAGTGCTCCTTGCCACCGCTGTCCTGGTGAGGAGATGGAGGGGATGAAATTTCCATGTGTTCCTTTCCAGTTTCCATCTGTTGTAGTTACTCTCAGGTTCTCCTGCAGTTCTTTCCCATTTTTGAGCATAGGCTACATTAATTTTTCTGCTTTTTGTGACAGATTGGTCCATGCTCAGAGACCCAGCACAGAAAAAAAATAGTTTCCAATTTGAAACACCAATGGTTTGAGCTGTTAGGTATGATTCTGAGATACTTAATCTTCAATCAAGGAGATAAATCCTTTAGTATGCTATGGAGAACTATGACAGCTAATTAGGGAAGGTCAAGTCCATTTTTAACTTCTAAACCTTATGACTGCTTGATCTAATGTTACAGTTTTGATTGATCTAGAGTTTTGTAGCTGAAAATACAAGTTTAAGGATTTGAATTTGGTGGGAACGTAGTGTGACAAGCTTTACAACTTCTGCTGTATTCATAGAAGATGCCCAATTTTAAGTGTATTGCCTTGCTTCCAGCTGTGAAAGCTGAATTCATGACATCATTGCTCTAACAATTCTGCACTGTTTTGCCTTTGCTATGGTTTCCCATAAAGTACTTCTGGCAGTTAAGAAAAATATCAGAAATCTGGACCCAATTTGTTAGGCCAAAATAAAAAATACATCTTGACCCCCTGCAAGCAATACAGTCTTCACTTCTAGGCTTGCATAAGATAACTTGGGCAGCTCGATAAAATGGCTTTTTTATTACTGTAAACTGAGAAGGTATCTTGTTTCAAATTAGAATATAATGTTTCACTCCATTTTCCTTCAGTTCTAAGGTTTTCCATTTTGAAGAATCTTTAGTGCTTGCTCAAATATGTGTTTTAATTCTGGATTATGGGGTATAGGTGTCCAATCTTCCAATTTTTTTCCCAGAGGTTTGAAAATATGAGTAGTAAACATGGTAACCACATTTGGTGCAGTAATATGAGTTCCAAGTGCAGGATGCTAGAGGAAAATTATGCAAGATAGCAATCATTACTATGCTAACCCCCAAGCCATTCCATATAGTCCTATGAATGAGCTGTGTTGGAAGGGGTCACACAGCCACACAGAAGCATGCTGCAGAGCTACACATCCAGGGCCAGCTCAAGGCCATGATGGGCCCCAAGGTAGCTCTTTATAGTGAGCCACCTCCCCTGGCCCCCAATAATGAACTCACATTCAGCATACGTATAGGATGAGTGAGAGACAGAATCAACAATCATGCATTCACAGTGCAAAAATATTTCACTGCATATTTTACCGGAAACCATTTTCCATGCCTTCCTGGAAGCAAGAAACGGGTATCTCTTCAATGGCAGAAAACTCAAATACCAACTTCTCCTTTTCTACTAGAAGTGTAATACAACAAAGTCAATAATTTTATATTAGAAAACATAATTGTCTTACACTAAGTTCATAGAAAGTCTTCCTAGCATGTAAAATGGTTATGTGTGCACTGCATTACTGTGTGCACATATGTACCTGCATGCACACCAGAGATTGACATTGAAAATTGAAATTTTGTAACTCATAATAAAAATCTAAACTATGTGAAACATCCTCCTCATATGCCACCATCTTCCACCTGAACATGAATTCAAAGAAACTTATTAGTAGCAAAAACACCTTGCACCTTATTCTGGCATAAGCTTTCATGGATGATGACCCATGTTATCAGGTACATGGGATATTTTTTTCCACAGTTGTTATAGGATGTTTGTGGGCTTTTAAACTTAGGTCAGAAGGAGATATAATGATGGAAATGAATAAAATAGTCTACTTTCCTGCCCTGCCCTGAGGCAGCAGCCTACCCTACAACCAGGCAGCCCTGTACAGCCTTTCCAGCATTTACAGTTTTTAAAAAGGAAGCTGTTGCACTAGGAAAGGTTGCTCTCACCAGAACAGGTGCAGCAACAACCACAGCTTCCAAAGACAAGGGAGAGCAACTGGCTTCCACAAAGGGAAGCAAGGGGTATTATTGTTTGTTTTAAATTGTCATGGAGTTCAGCCACCACTACCAGGAACTTTGTTCTAAAAGATCCACAGCCAGGACTGGCTGTACTGATAGATGTGGGAAAATACTGTAGCAAGGAGAGGAACTTGCAGTGTGCACCTGGCAATTGCAGCAAAAGCTGTATAGGCCAAAAGTAAAACTCATAAGTCCAAGGGCTTTTAATAGTAAAGAGAAATACTATACTACTTTATTAATTATTCTATTACAAATATATTTTTATCATGTTCAGCTATATACCCTGGCATCCAAACTCATTTTCCTGTCTTTGCAGCAGAAAGGATCAAAATATTAGAGATGCTTGCTGTTCTGAAGAACTACATTTTAAAAGCATGAGCACAGTGAAATGTGTTGCTTTAAAATGACTTGGAGCCAAGTCTTAAGGGCCTTTGTATTGTACCATTGCCAGGTTCTTTCTCATGACTGAGATATATTTAGGTTGTCAAAAGGCATAAAAGTTAATCTTATCCTGTACAACATGCTAAGCTACGATTGTCCTTGTGCGACTCTTTGATTTAGCACTTGAATCTATTATATAATATTTTTGTCAGTCATATGACTATTCTAATAAAAATTTTCAATCATTGCAGGCATTTAACTTCCTGGGAAATTTTGTTCAGCAAAGCCCCTCTGCTCCAAGTACCAGGAAGACATTGTGTCTTTTCAAAAAGAACTCTCTTCAATATTACCGCACCCTTTGGAAACAAAAGGAAAGAATATTCAGAAAGGAGGATTATAGGGTTTGTATGTTTTTAAAAGTCTGTTTACAGTTGTGTGAAAATGCATGACTCTGGCTTGCATGGCAAAACTTTAATCAGTAGCTCAATTTCTGTTGATTTTGTCCAGCCCTGGGTATAATTAAAACTGACCTAGTCTGCTTGTTGTGAATTGTATGAACTTTGTTCTGAACCTAAACTCTTTAGGGACTCCTCAAGTTCCACAGAGTTCAGTGGAATTTGCTTTTTAGGGTAGATCAACATATTATGAAGCAAATATGTGCTTTGCAATTCCTTGTTTACCCCATAACTCTAATAAGAGGTGGACAAAGATAGAGAAGAATAAGTGAGCAGGTTATATTGTGCTTCCACTGAGGCAATGTTGTCTAATTTAGAAAGGGATATATTGTATAGTGTAGTTCATAAACAGGATGAATGATATGCTTAGATGCAAAGATACAATACAGTATCATTCCAATAGCACTCATGAAGATTTTCCTTAGCTACTTTGGAGGGCAAGGAGATTTAATAAAGAATGAAGTATTTGGAGTGACGCTTTAAATTATTCTTGAAGGACAAAGTATGTTGTGCTTCTATGTAATTGTTTAGCAGTTGTAACAAGCTAATCTTTGACTTCTATTCTTGTTTCCTTTTATGGAAGTGGTATATTTTGCTAGTTGTATGTAATAGGTAGAAAAATTTGTGTGGGCTTGGGTATAGATGTGTGTGCCATAGGTCAACCAACTTCCCTCATCTTTCACAGCCTGTTCTACATACTTCTTTAGAATCTCTTCATCCAAAAGAATTATCACCCATTAGAAGAAAATAGTCCCACCACCACCCAAAAAGAGATTATTTGCAAGTTTAGGTGTTAATGTATGGATGTAATATGTTGCTCTGAAAGGATTTATGAGAATCTTGAGAGACTGTAAGGGGCATGGGAGAGCAGGACAAACAAGAGTGAGTAGGGTCCAGAGAAGGATATGTTGAGTTTTGTTCACATAGTAGAACTTTCCTGACACTCCTTAGCCTCCAAAAATCTGCTCTTAAGGATTGGAAAGTTATTTGAAATAATATAGAATGGGATATGGGTTGCTAAAAGAAGTAATTGACAGAATTCAGGATGCAACTTGTACATATGAAAATACCTTTCTATTTGTGCAAAGTACCTTTAGGATCCAACCTACAGAATGAAAACATCAGGTCTCCCTGCCTAGAGGCATAATAAACTCTTACTAGAAACAGGTAAACTTACTGATTGCATTGAAAAGATTCCCATATGTAACTAAGTTACCATAATTAATTTGTTAAAGCACATGTTTTTGCATTAATGATTGACAGAGATGTAGTAATATTGATATACATTTCAGAAGAAAGTGCCATGATTACAACATGCTTGAGGTGTAAAAACAAAATGCTCAAAATTTGGGTGAGAGTGATACACTGGAAAATTCTGAAATCCTTTCTGAATTTGTAGAGCTTCCACTAGCAGTACTTTTAAAAAGTTCTAGTGGTTTAAAACTTCAAGCATGGGGATATAAGGAAATGCTGCACAACTTAGCCACTTGGACAGCTCTTGTAATATTAATATCTGTTTTCTTGTTGACCAGATATTCTATGCAAGAAATGTATGATGTGGTAGCTGTTGTAAGTGAATACAAGGACTTTGTTCCATGGTGCAAAAAGTCAGATGTGTTATCCAAACGTTCGGGATACTGCAAAGCACGCTTAGAAGTAGGATTTCCTCCTGTGTTGGAGAGATACACTTCAGTTGTTACACTAGTAAGACCTCATTTGGTAAAGGTAATACTTTTATTTTTATTTTATGTTAACATTTATAGCTTTTCCATCATCTAAACTAGTATGTTTTTAGAATATGGAATGCAGGAAATCACTATGAGAGGTACAGTTTTGTTTCAGGTTTTATGGTAGTCCTTTCCAGACAACTGCCCTAGAGATGTACTGGACTACAACTCCTATAAATGTATCTGTCAACAATGGGTTGGAGAAGGCTGTTTTACAGTCTCTTTCTCACACACTGAATGATAAATAATTTATGATTAAGAGTATGCATGTCACTATTTCTCTCCATTATAGAATGTGTTTCTATGGATTCTTAAAAAACATTTTTAAATTACATCTTAGCTATTGGTTTTGGAACAATGCATGAAAGTGTTATATGCAGGACATGTAGCAACTCCATTCCAATGTCATAAAATATTCAGAATGTAAACTTTTATGTGTTTCCTTTCAATTAAGAGGCCATTCATAGTAGGAAAACCTTTTAGATCATATTTCAGGTGGCACATGCACAATCTAGGGATAGCTAGAATATATAGATACCTAAGTTGCAGTGAAAACCATGGAATACCTAACATTTCTCTGTTTCCCTATGCTAAGCCACGATCTAATGCCTATCCACAAATTAAACAAATGGAGGAAGACGTTGGACGGAGAGAACTAACTCTAAAGCTGTTCTGCATCCTTGAAGTTAACTGTTCTTGGGGCTCCTCTTTTCCATATTATTCTAGGAAACAAACCTTAAGCCATCCTTCTTTGGATTGTCAACTCTTCTGTACTTTTGAGACTCTGTGGCTCATTTCTTGCTTGTGTATCAATAGCACTATCAGTAGAAAACATCCTTACACCATGTCAAACTCCTTGTCCTTTTAAATTAATATTGTCTACTTAGGAGTGTAAGGCAGAGATCTTCCACATCACCTGCTGCCTTATTCTTTTAACCAGGAGTGTTAGGGATTGAATAAGAGACCTTCTACTAGCTAGTTGTGGTCTCTTCCCATACTTCTTAGATATCCCAGTTCCTCTGGCTCACCCCTTAGATATCCCAGCTCCTCTGGCTCACCCCAGTGAGCTGACTCCACACTGCAACCTTGATAACTTCTTTTCAGGTACTATTACAAATGGAAATAGATTCCTTGTAGAAGAATTATCAAAGCAGTACCAATAGGAGACCTTTTTTCAAGGAAAAATATGGTTGTTAGGGATAACAAGAAGAAAATATTGAAAGGGATTTAGAATGTTTTCTTTTATTTATTTTTTGACAATGGCCCAACTTGTTTTTAATTGTACAGCACTTTCTTAGGGGTTTTTAGTCTTAATTGTTTACTGAGAAATCAGATTTTCTTCCTGTACTTAATTTTTGTCATTGGAAATATTTGCCAAAGGAAAACACTCTTGTGAAAGAGCTATAAAGCTACAGAAATTGGGTCATTTGTAAAAATATATACATTTTTCTGGAGCTTGCTCTGGATATTTTCCTCTTGGTGGTGGGTGTGCATTGGTGCAGCATCCCTTTTGTACTGTTCCAGGCTGCAGAAGAGTCGAAAGCCTAAGTTACAGATGGGTCTTGTTCCCTATACTTTCATTGCTATCGGTGTTCTTCTAAGACTTGGTGGCTGTAAAGCTGGGGTTTACAGGAACTAATGTCACACTATATTTTAAAACAAATCATAGAACACAATCCTATAGCTAGGATTTCAGAGAGTGAGCTTCAGAATGTCTTTGGAACTGGTTCAGGGGAGCAAGGAAGGGAGGAGCAAAGCATCACAGTCTTCCAAAGAATCCTGAAATTAGTTGTCTATATGTTTTGGAGGGAGATGGATGTGTAAAGGGTGAGGAGGACCTTCCAATGGGTGCCCGCAGATAAGGGGGTTACTGGCAACTCCACTGGCTGAGAGGGGATCTCTCTGTGTGGGAGGCATACTCAAGTGACTTTACTAGCACTAGAATTTGTAATTGACCCGTTCTCCAGCTTGTGTAGTGGTAGTAATAGTGGAGTGGTTGCCAAAAACCATAAGCTGCTTTGTTGAACTTTGAAAGAAATACAATAGTCACAATGTTATCATTACTATCTTACCTGCTTTTTTATGTCACTTTAAAAAATTTGGATTCATATACTTTTAAAAAATGTGTGTGTGAAAGGCATGCATATAATGAATTTTAGTGCCCTTAAAGGCTATTACCTCTGAGGTTCTTTTTAAAGCAAAAAACAGTTTTAATTGTATGTGGGTGTACGCTTCATAATTGGTTCAACATTGGGAAAGGAGTACAGCAAGGCTGTATGTTGTCGCCCTGCCTATTTTACTTATATGCAGAGCACATCATGCAAAAGGCCAGGCTAGATGAATCACAAATTGGAATTAAGATTGCTGGGAGAAATATCAACAACCTCAGATATGCAGATGATACCACTCTAATGGCAGAAAGTGAAGAGGAACTAAAGAGCCTCTTGATGCGGGTGAAAGAGGAGAGCACAAAAGTTGGCTTGAAACTCAACATCAAGATGCCAACATTATGGCATCCTATCACTTCCTCGCAAATAGATGGGGAAGAAACGGAGGCAGTGACAGATTTTATTTTCCTGGGCTCCAAGATCACTGCAGATGGGGACTGCAGTCAAGAAATTAAAAGATCCTTGCTCCTGGGGAGGAAAGCTATGGCAAACCTAGACAGCATACTAAAAAGCAGAGACATTATGTTGTCAGCAACAGTGCGCATAGTCAAGGCCATGGTTTTTCCATTTGCAATGTATGGCTGTGAAAGTTGGACTACAAGGAAGGCTGAGTGCTGAAGAATTGAGGCCTCTGAATTGTGGTGCTGGAGAAGACTCCTGTGAGTCCCTTGGATTGCAAGGAGATCAAACCAGTCAGTCCTGGAGGAGATCAACCCTGACTGCTCTTTAGAAGGCCAGATACTGAGGATGAAACTCAAATACTTTGGCCGCCTAATGAGAAGGAAGGACTCCATGGAGAAGAGCCTAATGCTGGGAGCAATTGATGGCAAAATAAGAAGGGGACGGCAGAGGATGAGGTGGCTAGATGGAGTCACTGAAGCAGTCGGTGTGAACTTAGGTGGACTCCGGGGGATGGTGGAGGACAGGAAGGCCTGGAGGAGTGTTGTCCGTGGGGTCGCTATGGGTCAGGCGCAACTTCGCAACTAGCAAGCAAGTACTCTTCATATGTAAAGAGACATGGGTATTTTGTATTCATCAATATTAATATGTATCCAAGTACAAAAGAATGAGAATTGGTAGTGGAGCCATCTCCCATGGACTTAAATTGTATAGTATAATAGGACAGCTTTACAATAAGTTTCCAAATTATGAGTTCACAAATACAGTGGTATCTTGGCTCACAAACTGAATCTGTTCCAGGACTCTGGTTGTGACCCACATTTCCCCATAAGGTTCAGTGTAAATAAGGTTAATCCATTCTGTAACCATTTTTTAAATCAGAAAAATGTGAAGCGAAGTGATAACAACAAAGATCGCGGCCATCTCCTCCCCCACCCCAAGCACAAGCATGGCCAACTCCACCTCCTCCCCCAGCTTGACTGAGATCGCGCCCGTCATCTTAGCGTGCTGGGGGACGGGGGGTGGGGGGAAGAGACGGGTGTGATCGCGGGCGCACTGGGGGAGGAGAGATGGGCGTAAACGGTGTGCTGGGGGTGGGGAGATGGCCTCGATCACAGTTCCGTTCTTGCAGGGAAGGCGTCCGTTATCAGAGGCGGGCTGCTGCAGGAAAGACAGGAGCAGCAAAGCAGAGCCACGGGGGAGGTGGCTGAGATTCTTCCTGTCTTTCCTGCAGCAGCCCGCCTCTGATCAGGGACGCCTTCCCTGCATGAAAGCAACTGTGATCCGTGATCAGAGGAGCGCGGCTGCACTAAAGACGGGTGCAGCAAAGCAGAGCCGCAGGGGAGGTGGCTGAGATTCCGCTTGTCATTCATGCAGCCGTGCACGTCTGATCACGGACGCCTTCCCTGCACGAAAGCAACTGTGATCGTGGCCATCTCCCCACTGGGGGTGGTGGGGGAGATGGCTGCAATCTTGGTCGCCACCCAAAGGGGTGTTTGTGACCCACGTAAAAAATTTTCAGAATTTTTTGTTCGTGATCCGATTTGTTCGTTAGCCAAGGCGTTCATGAACCAAGGTATCACTGTACATATACATTAAGGTGCTTTGTAATGGAAAGAAATGAAAGAAATTAATTTACAAAAGCTTGTAGGCTGTTTCTGGGCTATGAAGAACATAATAGTATAAATATATACATTGAACAAAACTATATATTGAATATTATTGATCTATATTTTGAGATATCTTCTGATGTTTTTTAAAAATGAAACACTAATGTGATGAAATAACTAATATTAACTTCTGAAATTTTATTCTAGTATTGCAATTATAATTGCAGCTGTACAAGTTTTGACTGTCTGTATACAGAAATGTCAAAAGTGAGAAATGTCCAAAAGACAATGACTAGGATTGGGGATTTTGAATTTATATAGCTGTATTCTTTAAAAAATACTGTTAACCTTTCTCTTAGGCATCATGTACAGATGGGAAACTGTTTAATCATCTGGAAACAATATGGCGTTTCAGTCCAGGAATCCCTGGCTATCCAAGAACATGCACCTTGGATTTTTCAGTAAGTTTGAGAATAGGGCTTTCAAACTGCTCTAAACCTTAGCCAGATTATGGGGGATGATATGAGATGAGATTGAGGGAACTGGGTCTTTTCAGCCTGGAGGAGACTCAGAGGGGTTCTTAGAGCAGCATATAGGTATGTGGTGTGTGGTAGGGGGTTGTAATCTGTTCTCCCTAGGTGGAAAAAAGGATACAGTCCAATGGGGCAAAGTTCATGGAGCTGCATTTCAGGTTGGATGTCAGAAAGGATGGACTTCCATGGGAGCTGGTGGAGGCCCTATCACTGAGGGTGTTCAAGGAAAGATGACAACCACATGTTGGGCATTACCTGGATGATGCTGGCTGAAGGCAGGGGTCAGACTAGATGGCCTGGGAGAGCCCTTCTGAGTCACTATGTTTCTAGATCATCTTCCAATCTGATCTGAAAGTTTCCATGTAGAATGTTCTACATGTTTCCTCAGAAGTAGGTCCCATTAAATTGAATGGGACTTAGTCTTGAGCGATAGTGCATAGGTCTACAAGACTTAGTTTCAAGAATGTGACATGACTGCTTGAGATACATAATCCAGGAATGTCTTTGAAAGTGTGGAAGCAATATTGGCTATGTAACTGATCATTCTAGAGAAGTGAACAAAATAGCACATGAATGCATGTCAGAGCACTGAAAAAGTGCTTGTCTCGATGAGAAAAAACAAAACAAAAACAAGCAGCCATTGTATATATTTGTCACATAGGGAAATGGCATTGTTTGATTCCCCAGCCTGAACATTATTCTGTGAATGAGAGCTGTAAGTTTTCTGTGAGTTTAGAGGCAGCTTTGAGTATCTCACAATGAAACCAAAGGTTTTCTTCAAATCTCCAGTGTTGCTGTCTTTGAATATGCCAACATTGTCAAAACTGACCAAGTGGTTGCATGCTTTTGATAAGATTTTCCTATAAACTTGTAGAATACAATATTTTTAAAACAATAATTTCTGGCTTGATGCTAAGTTAAATTCATAGTTAAATGAACAGAACTCCACTCACATGATGGCTTTACTGGTTTCTTCCCCTCCCATTGTGCTTCTCCAAATGCTACTCCCTGAGCTTTAACAGAATTTCTGGAATGGCATAATAGGTAAATTGGAGGGTGTTCTTGCAGAACTGCTTTTCTGCATGGGTAAGGCATCCCTGAATCTAAGCCTCTAAAATTATCAATGAGGCAGAACACTTCTAAACTGTATGTCCTGTTCAGAGAACTATGCCAGTAACTGTTCTTAGTTTCATAACCTGTTGAACAGGGGTACAAGCTCTCTTGTGAGGTGCATTGTTTTACTTGAAAAGTATTAAATTTCCTTTTATCTACCATGAGTTAGAAGATGCCATGCAAGTTCTAACTAGCAAAAATGTAAGCTCCTGTATAAAATGGAAAGCTCATTGTTGTCAAGGGCTTTCCATTTTTCTAGGATTATGAAAACCTTGAAGTTATGTACTTTTTCACCAAGTTGTAATACTCAGTAATGTGGGCAGAAAGGCCTAGAAGGCCCCAATATTCACATAACTGAACATATTTGCAAGGTTTAGCTACATCCTATTTCAAGTATACTAAAAGCGACTGCCTCTTTAAATTACTTATTGTGACAGTGACTGAGTACTTGTTTTCCTTAACAGATTTCTTTTGAGTTTCGTTCCCTTCTACATTCTCAGCTTGCAACACTGTTCTTTGATGAAGTTGTTAAGCAAATGGTAGCTGCGTTTGAAAGAAGAGCATGCAAGTTGTATGGTCCAAAAACCAGCATACCTCAAGAATTAATGTTTCATGAAGTACATCACACATAAGAGGGGAAAACTATGAAATTACTTGGACACCCATGTTCACATGAAATGCTTCTCATGTGAGCTTCCCATTACTTGGAGGGATTTTTTTGCCAATTATGTATACTACTGTACAAATATGCATGTAAGATACAGATGTACATAACAGACACTTCAATCAAGTGCAATTGTAAGGTGCTGAATATCTGAGTGGCAGCTATAACCAACATCAGACTTGCCTTCTGCATCTTGTCATCTTGTAAGACAGCACTGTATCAGTCCTACTGCCTTGTTTTTGCAGTGTTTAATATTTACTATTTGAATCAAGTTTAAGTTATTCTTTTAATGCATATTTAAGTTATTTTTTGCTATTCAGGACAAGCTTTAAACTAGCAATAGTATTTTGAGTTTTTCTTCATTGTATAAAATATGGTGGCAGATAGTTATATGCAGCTTTTTAGCAGGTAATCAATAAATCCTAGATCAAGGGCTAGGTTTAACCAGTATGTAATTATGTTGCTGCACTATGCTGTTCCAAGATCCCTAGAGATGGCTAAATCCACAGAACTCAAGCTATAAAAAAGGGAAGATAATCCAATTAGTGACAAGATTTAGTGCTAGCTCAGTGTGTTTAGCAACATTATAGCAGAATGCTTGAATTGATCAGCTTTGTAAGAAATTGCTTTATCTGTAATCACCGATGTGTCTGTAACAACTTTTTATAATCTTGTCACAAGAATAGATGTCATTTCTATAGCAGAATTTCTTCCCATGTCAGCACCTTGGGCAGATCTTGAGTGTAAGAGAAATTGCTCCCCTATCTACTGCTGGGAAAGTTTAGTCACTGGAAAAATTTAATTGGATTCCACTCATCTTGTGGGTTCTGCCTTTAAGAAGGTAAAATCTTGTATAATCCAAACATGAAGAAGGCAGGGCAGTCTTTGAAGTGTTCTGTCATGTTCTCCAGAATTCTTTGGGATCTGCTCCTTTTTAGTCACAGGGAAAGTTCATATATAGAATGGATTATTACCAAAAGTCAACTAGTCCCCCATTCTACGAAAAGCAGAAATTCGTACATCTCTCTATAAACCAGAACATATTTGGGGCCAAAACTGTCCCAACATTTGTATGAAAGTTTTGGGGGTGCTTTTATACCCCACACTAAAAGCTAACTACAGCTCATTTTAATTCTTTTGAAAGTCAGGATTCTGAGCTAAAAACTCTGGCAAACAGAATTAAAACCCACTAAGGGTTTTCTATAATGGCTTGAGTTTGTAGGTTAAACTAGCATTAACCAGCACAAATCTCAATAGGGCAAGCAGTGCTATGCAGGTTTTATTATTGTGCATAGCTTGAGGAACGCTTGCCTTTCATATGCATTATCAGCCTTGTACGAGGCACTTGTGCATGATCAAAAATGATCCCTTTTACAACTAGTGCTAGGTTTCATATACACAGGGTGAAGGTTACGGGAGCTGCTTAGCTTGAACATGCAATGTTTCCTAGGAAACCAACATATACCTCTTACAAAGCAGGGCTATGTATTGTGAACACATCAATATATTTCATACCTTTCAGCAATCTTTTATTACATAAAGTTGTCACATAATTGTATATTTGTCTACTTTGTACACAATTTTTATTTAGTCTTGCGCACAATGGCTTCAGCGTTTCCTAGAGATAGCACGCACCAATAAAAATTTGATTCAACAGAACTGCAAGTGCTTCAACTGCTTTAAGTTTAGAGCACAGCACTGGTACATGGATCTTGCACCCAGCATCAGGAATGTACAAATGTCTTTATTCAAAGTATAAAATAAATTATTTGTAGGCATGGACAATGACTGTAAACAATTATACATATGTCAACTGAAATCCAGTAACTAATGTTACAGTGATTCTTTGAACAGGCCCTTCTGCAGTCACTGTCCATCCTTGTCTTGTACCGACCTGAAGTTTACGTAAACTGTCAAGTCACTCTTTGTGGTTCATGATGCACATCCATGTAGCCCAAGATTAGAACATGCCACCTCCCATGCCACCACCCATTCCTGCCATAGCAGGTTCCTTTTCTTCTTTAGGTATTTCAGTTACTACTGCTTCAGCTGTAGATAAAAGGGAAGCAACACCAGCTGCATCCATTAAGGCTGTTCTTACAACCTAAAAAAAAAAAAAGATACACATTTGAATACTGTACTAGTTTTATCCATTCAGTGTAAAGAGAGAATTGTGACAAAATTAAGTATTTACCTTTGTTGGATCAATAATTCCCTTCTCTACCATATTTACAAAGTCACCAAGCATAGCATCATAGCCAACATCAGGTGGGCTCTGCATGATTTTCTCAACTATCAGTGATCCTTCAACACCTGCATTCTTAGCAATAGTCATCGCTGGAATTTTCAATGTTCTCTTGACGATTTCTATACCTAAAAACATAAACAAGTTTTATTTCAACAAACTTTTATATAATTTAATAACTCCTAAGCAGCATAGAAAGGATGTGATTACTCTCAGCCTTGGCAAGGGAGCCATGCCAGCAGTTACAGTTCTGCATTCTTTCCCCAAGCTTGCGTATTTTTCAAAACTTGAACCTTCAAATACAAGACTCTTAGCTTGGACCCTAAGGTAAGTTAACAAATTCACAAAGAAAAACTGGAGCCTCTTTCCCCCTACAGCCCCTAAAACGGGGGGCTCTTAAACCCCTCAAGTGGTTATGAGGCCCCTTTGCGAACAAAAGGTCAAACCCAGAATTCAAGCCTCTAAGGTTGAATTTTACAGACACAAACAAGTGCTTACCTGTTTTTTGATCTTCATTAACTGGTTTCAAAGCATCTAGTGCTGGAATACACCGCAGTAATGCACAGCCGCCACCGAGAACTATGCCTTCCTCTACAGCAGCACGAGTGGCATTGAGGGCATCAGTGACTCTATCTTTTTTTTCATTCACCTCAACATCACTCGTTCCTCCAACCTGAGAGAAATTTACATTTGGAGAGTTGTGTCAAGTTTTTATAGAAACTCAAGTTTGCAAATAAAGATCACCTGCCTTCATCAAGCTAGCATGTCGAGTCACCTTTTCTAAGCTGGAGAGGCATGGGCCTGTTGCTAGATGGGTGACCACATGTGGAAGCAGACCGGGGAATGGCCATTAGCCCCCTTCCAACTCTCTTCCTCTTGCCTTTTAAGACAAAACTGACTAACCTCTAGACTTTCAAGTCACTCCCTATCTGCCTGCTTCAGAGTAGTGCTCATTTAAGTTTATAAGGTTATGACTGCTAATTGGGCTAAGTTGCTCAGTCATTATGTTATGAACTGTACCTCAAATTCTAATTGCTGCTGTAAGTCAGTTTTTATTGTCTTGTTTATTCTTTAAAGAGGGCCTCGTCCTTCTCTGCAATGGTTCTAGAATTTCACCAAGTGTTGTCTCCATATTTTTTCAAGCCTGTTTTAGTGTTAAGAACTAGGCCCAACATTCAAATCTATGAGATAGGCCTTCCCTATCTCTGCAATTCCTGACTCTTTTCTTCCATGCCCAACTTTTCCTTCCCTTCGTCTGGAAGAGGGGAAAGCCTTAGGAAAGAATGTATTATTTTCAAACCATTCCTTCCTAGACCTCTGCTTCTCCTGTTTCATAATTTCTAGGTCCTTGGGCCCACCCGAATTCTCCAGGGTCATAGCCTTTGCCTCATCTGTCTGTAATATGAAGGTAGCTCACTCAGCTGCTCCCATACACCAGGATAAGATGCCTTAGATGAGACATCTATAAACACTTTCCTGAATTTATGTCACTGTAAGCCACTGACTTCCTCACTGTAACAAACTGCAATTTAAGAAAAATAAGCGCTTGGAGTAACATACTCTTAAGCAGGAGGCTAAACTCAGTAGCTAGGCTATTTTGTCACTATGCTGTCTTATCCACTGATCAAGTCAATTCTGCCATGCATGATCCTCCTTAGATCCCTGTTCTGACACAATAACTGAAGCACTGTAAATAACAGCACTAATTACAAATATCTTACTCAGTGGACTGAATTTGGACAGCTACAACAGGCATGTCAGTTTTTTCTAAAATTATTCTTTGGCCAACAGTAACCTGCATGTCATTTACAGACTGCTATCCAAGGCCCAAGTTTCACACAGTGCAATGGAGAGACTGCTCTTCAGGTAACCATGCCCTACAGTACACTCTGATGCACAGAACTAGTTGTACTGGTTCGTGGTTCCCAAGCAGTATCACTTTTATCAATTAAGAAACTGTACCTCTACACTTATCAAATGCCTCAAGTAAGCAATTCTTGCTTCAACTAGTCATAACGGGACAGAGCAACACAACAGTGGAACCAGCTGCCTACAGAGGTCATGGAACTTCCAAGTGCTTAATGATTACAACCAGCTGTTTATGAATTCTTACACTGTACTCATTATTCTCACACTACTCTAGCTTTATGTACCATGTTTTAAAAAGCATTGAGAGTATTATCTTTGCTTTTATTTCAGAACACATTGTCCTCAAGAGTTTCAGAAAGTACTTTCTCCCATGATTGTACTGATTACATTTCAGCCTTAACCATAATAAATATTTTTTCATAGTGAATGTTGCATAAAGGAATGGCAAACATGATTTAAAATACACAAAGTTGGTTTTGAAGTAATGCAAGTTGCCCCAAAATTGGGCAGGTAAAGGTGCATAACTTAATCTTAAATCCACAGGCCTTGAGCAGGCAACTTGTGGTACTGCAGATGATGCTGAAAGGCAAAACCTATCAACCCTAGCCAGCATAACCAAGGGTAGAAATGATGGTTCTAACAGCCTCTGGAGGTACATCCGTTACCACAGACAAAGAAATCATACTAGTCACCTTCAGTACTGCTACTCCATCAGAAAGTTTAGCCAGGCGTTCATTCAGCTTCTCTTTCTCATATTCACTTGTTGTGACTTCCAGTTGTTCAACTATTTCCTGAATGCGTTTTTCAATTTGAGCTTTATCACCCTTTCCTTTAAGTAGCAAGCAATCATCTTTTGTCACAATGACTTCTCCAACTTTACCAAAGTCATGAGGCTGAATATCTTCTAGATTTATGGTCAAACCTTCTTCCCCAAACACCTGAAGCAGATAATATTGAATGTTTAAAGTCCAAAGTTTATTATTAATTAACAGCAATTTTATCTATTTTAAAGTCAATCACTGTTGGAAATGCTTTTCATTGGTTTCAAGCAGGCGGAATCACCAAGACCATTTAGAGTCATACTGTAAGTTTTCACCCAGGTGTTCCATATGCCTGTTTGCACAGAATAACATTACTCTGGATCATTTCCCTGGCCTTTGCACACTTACAGCATTATACTTTCAAGCAGTCCAAGTCACTTCAATGAGCTGTGCTGCTTGTTGCAGCACATCTTATGCAGTTTTGCAAAGTTTCAGTTAAGACAAGAGACTTCTTTGTAGCCTATCCAGTCAAAGTATGCAGGTAACACCACATACATGGGCTGTAGACTCATGCTGGCTGCGAGGGACTTCCAAGCAGAAACAGGAAGAGGCTCTGACAACAGCAAAGAAAACAGTGAACTAGATCACTGTCTTTCAACTGGCGCATCAAGACACACAAGTTTAACTACAGTGGCCTTTAGCCTCAGGGGAAGTGCCAGGTATGGAAAAGATCCAGAGCTCTGGACCAGAGGACTTTTAAAAACCATAAATCTGCCTGTGTTAACGTACCTATGCTCTAAAACCTGTGTGTTTAAAGAACCTATTTCCTAAGGGCACCCCCATCTGTAGAAAGAGAGATAAGTAACAGATTTCAGAGAAAACCCTTAAGGCAGAAAGATCGGGGAGGGGGCATATGTGGATACAGCGCCAGCTAATCCAGGGAGATTACATCCAACAGAAATCACCAGCATTTCAGCAAATGCCCCTGGTCAGCAGCCTAGTGGGGTAGATGGCCTCAAGCATTCAGGGATCCAAGTGAAAAAAAATGGGGCTCCATCTCTAGCGGGTTGCCCCCTAAAACCACAGTATGGCCTAGATTCAAAAGCCCTCTGTTCAGTTTTCCAGGAAGAGCCATGAGTCTGTCCCCCCAGCAGCTGAATGGGTTTGAAAAAGCTGACTGCTGAGCTGGGCAATAGTCTGATCTAGTAACATTTCATGTCCTAGAGCAGGGGTCAGCAACCTGTGGCTCTTGAACCCCTCTGCTGTGGCTCCGTCACTCAGAACATGCACCAGCACAGCTGCTGATCTGCTCGAAGCTCCACTCAGAAACCCAGCATCGCTACATTCCTCTGCTAAACAAGCTTCCTGCAGGCTCTCATGTTACACGGAAATGCTGCTGAAAAGATTCTCTTTGTCCCAATGTAATCTCCTTCATCTCAATTTTAAAAGCTGCGCTTGGGACATGTTGCAGTTCACAGCACTTGACTGTTTATCTGCTAAACAGCCACTAAACACATCTATATCTGTGACTCCCCCCACCCTTGTAGGCCAACCATGGATAAATCAAAGAAAAGAAAAGTTTCTGAAGAAAACCAAACATTTAATGATAAGTGGGTAGATTCATTTGCTTTTGAACTTATGGGGTTTGCTGTTTAATGCATGCAGCCCTTTAGCAATGACTTTGACTGCAGGAAGCTGTTCTCCTATTCAAAATATATGAAAGGAGTCCTACTAGTTTATAATGTAAGATTAAAAATAACAGTTTTCAGTGACTGAACAAGAGC